TTATATTATGTTTACTACGAAGTTTCTAACACTAAAAGGGAAAGTTAAATTCCTTGAACTTTCTTTGACATTTTATAAGTCTTGTATTTTACAAAATTTTCCCATTATTATCACTAACATCTTCATTGTTTCATAATCCTTTTCATTTATTCTGAATCAGCAAGCGAGAAGTTTTGCTGGCAATTAAATTACCCACCAAGCAGATAACTTCTGTGGCTTTTGGAGAACCAKATGTGGATATTTTATATGTAACTACCGCAAAGTAAGTCGATAAACCTGCTCCAGCTGGATTCACATTTAAGGTTACTGGTTTGGGTGCTAAAGGATTACCAATGAGGAAAGTAACAATTTAAGGCACAAGATGATGAAGTACGAGATGTGTTCAAAATATAACGGGAATTTTCATTTTTTGAAAAAAAAAAAAATTCATCAATTCATCTATATGTTTTCGCCTTTAAAATAGTCGCCAATTCGGTATATAAAACTAAAATAAAAAACTTTAAAGTAAAATTGTATTTACTGGGTGATACAATTTTTTCAATAGCCTTTTTGTGACCGATCACACGTGAGTCGTGTGAAGCTCCCAGGATATTTTTGTTCAATATTGTTTAGCATTTCATTATGGAATTTTATTTTTTTTTTTATTTCATTTTATTACGCAAATTCCCATTGTATAAAGAAAGACGCTCGAAACGCCTCGCTCAACTTATGGTCAACATAAGCGGCCTACTGAGCTTACTATTCGCAACACCATCAACCATCTTGAGACCCAGCATCCATTGCTAGGTAATATTCGGCCGAATAGACAACGTCCAACACGCAGTGAAGAAAATTTAGCAGCCGTAGCTGAGAGTATACACGCAGACCGTTAAGAAGTTCCAAGAAGTAAGTAAAAAGTAGAGAACTCCGAAATATACCACCCATTAGATATTGGCAACAAGGTAAAATAAAACTAACATAACAATAAATAACTAACATATAGGTTAGGTATATCGATACGCCGTCAAAGCTTATAAAAATGTATAGTTTGAGCAAAGTAATTCGCAGTGCTTTCGAAGAGCCTTTTGCGTCTTCGACTGCAGAGCAAATATTAAACACAATATTCTGACAATATTGTACAATATTGTGAAAAAGGCTTAAGCTTTAAAAAAGCTCATTTGGTAGGAAACGCTTTCAAAAAGGTATTTTAAAAAAGCGACAAACTACTTAAAATCAACTTAATTAGTATATTTTTGTTTTGTTTAAATCTGTGGAGACTACTTTCTGTCAATGAGGGCATTTAATAACTCACAACTTTCGGCAAGCTTTTTCATAACTAAGTAGTTCCTTATATTATTTTCGTTATCAAAAGCTTTATTAGTATACAGAATGCTTCATATTACGAATTTTGAACTTCCACYAATAAATATTTGTTTTGTTGTTTATTTTACTTCACACCGAAAGCTTCCTAATTTGCTATAACAATACTGCACCTGTKTCTTGAAAGATATGATAATGTTACCCGCACCGATAACAGAGCYTATGAATTTATTAACGTTTGTCATTTAAGTGACCTTTGTGGAAAGAATGTTATAATAATCATATGGGTGTATTTAGAAGTCAAATTTATTGATCGGGATTTCTCTGCAATTAAATTGGAAATATCGAAAATGAGATTATTTATTATTTCACCATATCTTGCAACTTCATGATTTCGGATAATCACTTTGCGATAAAATTTGTTCTATTAAGAAATCACGTTTTGAGTRAAAGTCAACTAAAGGAGATTAAAAGAGATCGAATTAAACCGATATTGTTGACCTCAAGTTGTCTCTCAGTTTCAGGTATTTTGTGCTTCATCAACACTCCACTCTTATCTACTCAAATATGTATATGCTATATGGAAATATACATATTTTTCCACTCGAGTCTTGTATTCTATAATTTAAAAGTATTATTGATTATTGTATGACGTGCACCACCCACATTATCGCTTTTATCAATTGCGTTTTTATTACTTTGCCCCAGTGAACAGCAATCAAATTGAATTTGTTATTGTGATAAAGTCGAGTACACAAACGTAATCGGTAGATAATATATACATACATAGGATTGTATATCTCTATACAAATATATATTGAAATGTTTATTAGTGCTGTTGTGTATCTGGGCGGTAATAATTCCAAATAAACGAATGTATTATGATTTGCCAACAATAATTTAATTATATTGCTGAGCGAACTAATAAAAGATTGACAGAGTGAGAGAGAGTGTTAGAGAGCTACCAGAATTCTGTATGGCAATAGCAAAGGTTWGTTATTACCTCATGGCATTAGAGGGGTGCGGGTTTATTACTATTTTAATTATCGACTTACCGGCGTTTCAAAACAAAATAATTTGCTAACAGAAGCTTGTCAGCTGATCTATTTTAGTTTCATAAAGCGAAATAGTTGCCTCCGATACTTAACAAGTTTTTRATTGTATAGATCATGGAAAGCAAGCAACGTACTTTAAATGATAATACTAGTAATAGTACATATAATGCATAATATAAAATACTAGTAATTATCACGAATGATAATTGTATAGGTTATCGAGGTTGAGAAAGAGAGAGCGGAGAGGAACCTTTTCGTACTCAACAGGTGGCACAGAACGACATATGCTATTTGTTTTGAAGATATCTAATTTATGCTATAATAATGAATAATCAAACAGTATTTAACAATGAATTTGATTATTAAAATATACTATGGTGACTCAAAATGTTGTAGCAGAGTTTTTTTTTTTATTTTTTTTTTTATTTTTTTTTTTTATTTTCCATTTCAATGCAACTTTTTTTTTTTTTTTTTTTTTTTATTTTTTGTGTTTGAGAGTATATCGCTAGAATTTAACAATATATAGTTAAAGACTATAATCGATTGATTCAGCCTGTCACCAATGAAAACGATATCAAAATTTTATGAAAGGCATTAAAGATCACGCATCCACCTTATTTKCTGTTTATGGGCCCCAGTAACCTTCAAATGGTCGTGGATAAGAAATTGCCGCCACAGTGTTCGATTTCGAAGCAAAATACTACTGGTAACACTAAAATGTTAACAAAAGGTTTGAATGTTCTATACATTTTAAACATGTTTAAAATTTAAAACGCTCTCTCCTTACTCTTTCTTATGAAATAAATCCAATTCAACTGTTTAAGCTTTATGTTAATGGATGTTTAAGCTTCATGTTATAGCTCAACATCTTCTCTGTTATGAAAGAAACTCTGAGCACCGTACCAAATCAATACGAGTCATTAATGGTGATCTTTCGTGGTTATCTACTTTTTTAAGAGAAAACACAGAAGCTTCAAATTCAATAGAGAACGTTTATTATAATTATTTGTAATTTATATTTTGAAGATGGAGCATCCGTTGAGTCCAAAACGTGAAATTAWCTGCTCACCGCAGTATTCTGGGAAGTGGCGCTGGCTTGTTGAAACCAAATATAACTGAGATCACGAGCTTCTATTTCAGGCATCAAATAGTCGGTTATAACCGCGATGATTGTCGCCATTGACAATTGCGTTCTTACCCGCATCATTTTTGAAGAAAYATGAACCGATGATGCTACCGATCCACAAACCAGACCAAACCGTTATCTTTTATGAATGAAATGAGCTTCATCGCTAAATAAAATTTGGCTTGAAAGCGTCGGATCTTCTTGGAACTTTTCTAGAGCCCATAAAGCGAAGCGATGTCGATTCGGAAGTTCGAGCGGCTTCAGTTCTTGCACAAACTGTATTTTGTACCCTTTCAATTTAAGATTTTGACGTAACATGCTCCAAGCAGGGACATCACTGCTCACATGGTCTTTTCGGTCGAATATTATCTAGCAATAAATGTTGGGCTTCAAGATTGTTGATGGTGTTACGAATAGTACGCCCAGTAGACCGATTATGTTGACAATAAGTTGAGCGAAGCGCGCGAAACACATACTTTACAGAACGTGAATTTTCGTAATAAAGTTAACGATTTGTAGACGTTGTTCAGGCGCAAGACTTTTTAAGATGAAATAATACTGAGCAAAATTAACATGAAAGCTTAACACGACTCACGGATCTAKCAAAAAAGGGCTATTGAAAAAAGTAACTCTGTTTGGATCTTTCGTTATAAGCGTTTGAAACATTATAAATGAATAACAATTGCATTGATTGTAATTAAAAAATAATTCAGTTGTTATATAAATTACTATTATTTTTTTTTGTAAGTATATTTTATTTGCACCGGTTATATTTATATATGGCAYCAAAAATAAAAGAAAAGTAATCACATTTTATTTTATTATGAGACTTCCTTAATTACTGCCATATATGCATATCTTACCTCAGRAAATATCATAAAACAAACCTCAAAATTAAATATTTGAGAGTGTACAAGTGACGGTTAGTGTAGCTAATACTTAGCTTACATTTCGGAAATTGTTGTGATATCTAATCTATAATTTCATTTATAATGTGGATCCGAGATAATATTATTATCTCTACTACTATACTAGTAGTATTGACAGCTTGATTATATAGTATTAATGAATATTTTAGCAAAAAGTTGTAAACCTTTTTTAGACAATTTCGATAAGAATAAATGAATTCATTAAAATACTAATAAGTCCCCAAAACTAAATTTTTTTTTCTAATATATGTTTGCTTGCACTTCTGTTATCTCTAATAACTGGCTACAACTTATAGTACGGTACTTAAGAGCCACTTGTACTGCTCACTTGACTATAAATATAGAAAGTCAACTGAGTGCAGTTCAGTCGCAGGTGAAACGTCCGTTGTTGCAAATATTTTCCCACAAGCAAGGTACGAACGTGTTAAACGAACAAAATCGATTGCAAAACTACTTATAATATATAGGTGCCTATAATTAACGATTACAAACAGCGGTAACTGGAATTTGAGCGAAAGTGTTTCTCCACGCAACTAAAAAACATTTGTTCTAATAAAGCGCTTTCGCAAAACAACTGCTTAAAAAGCTATGAAATTTGTAATAACTATTGTTATTGTTGWTAAAAATTAGCATTTTTAAAAATTTTCCATTTTTTTGCAACATTTTGGAAAAGGTTGATCACGTYCAACAGCATGTAGTATCCGTATAATAAATTTGAGTGCTTTTGTATAAAACATCTACGAGTATATCAGCCGGAAAGCCATGCTAAAACTTATCTCAGCACGCAAAGTGGAAATGAAAATGATCAAGTTATTAAGCCGAATAGAGGTCGTTTCATTAATAAGATGAARTATGCGATAGAAGTGACACTAATTTATTGGTAGTTTGTTAAACCTCTGGAGGTCTTTAAAATTTATTATATATTTTATGAGGAAAGACCACTTCAAGACAAGTGTCTTGGCAATCAAGTCATTAATTATAATGTTTAATGGCAGCTGTTGATAATTTTGTGAACTTGACSAGAGATCAAAGTGAAATGTTTGTCCGTTATGACCTTCAGTGTACTTAAAGTAATTACTATTTTTTTATTTTCTAAAAGATAAGGTTTAGTAATTACGAATTGTTTTGAGTGTACTAATTAAGATGTGATAAGGTACTCAGATTATTATGTAGCTAGTGAACGTTTAAGCTAAGCTTGTCACAGTAAATTTRTATATAAAAAGCGAACGCTAGCTTAACCTATAAGGAAATTTTTCAAAACAGAAAAATAAAAAAAATATTTAGATTCAAATAAATATATAACAAAATTCGATTCATATAAATATTAATATTTATTTTTTATTTACAATGAAATAAATATAAATATTTTTTCCAACCTATCGGCATTAGCTCGCTAATAACGAGCCGAATACGAGTATTAATTTCGAACGTACGCGATTCACATAAGATACGCCAAACAGTAATTTTTCCCGCGCAAAAGTTAGCCCAGAGTGTATTTTCAAAAATTTTCACAAGTAGTATTTTGGCGGTTAGTTTGACAGAAATAATTGTAGAAAATTATATGCCACTAAAAATACAACACATCGTCATTTAAAATGCAAAATGACGTAATATCGCTTTTCGCGAGTTTACAGGCGAAGGAAAACGGTATAATAGAAACCACCCATATTGATAAAAAATTGAGTTTAGGTTATAAAGTGGTTACATAATGGTTATAAAATGGTTACAAAATGGTTATAAATTGGTTATATCGTATACCGGCAGCTGAAAATTTTAGGCTACATAAATACATWCATGAAAAATGTTGCAGTGAATCGTAAAAATCGTATAAAAAACTCAATKTCGAAATTTTCATGATGCGTTGTTTTGCATTTTAGTTGACGATATACATGTAGTACATAGTATGCTAAGACCAAATCGAAAAAAAAAAATAAACGAAAGAAACCGATAATGAATTTCTAATAATTGAAATAAATTACTTAGATGTCTTATAAAATCGAAGCACTCCCCAACGCAGGAACCTTGATTGGTGAAGGTCCTCACTGGGATATTGAAACACAAAGTCTTTACTTTGTCGATATCGATGTTGGTAGATTACTACGTTATGACTACAAAGAAAACAAAACCTACAGTGCAGTGCTTGAGGGTGAACAATTTGCCTCTTTTATTATACCAGTCGAAGGTGAGAGCGGTAAGTTCGTAGTAGGCGCGGGTCGTCGTGTAGTGGTCGTCGCTTGGGATGGCGTAGYACCAAAAGCCAAGGTGGTGCGTGTTGTACGCGAAGTACAACCAGACTTTGCTATGAATCGTTTGAATGATGGCAAAGCCGATCCACGGGGTCGTCTTGTGGCTGGTACCATGTATATTGATCCAACGTTTTCGAAACGTGAGGGTGAATTGTATAGCTTCGAGAAAGGTAAACCGGTGGCGTTAATCAAGTCTGATGTTGGCATCTCGAATGGTTTGACATGGGACGAGAAGGCGAAGAAATTCTACTTTATCGATTCACTTGACTTCAATGTCAAGGCGTACGATTATGATTTCGATACTGGCGTCGCAAGTAAGTGTCAAGTTCTTATATTTTTTATAGTTCTCTTTCTTTTATTTCAATTGTTTGTTTCATGCAACAATAGGTAACCCAAAGGTGATCTTTACACCCGGCACATATTTACCCGATGGCATGACAATTGATACTGATGGCAATATTTATGTTTGTACTTTTACCGGTGCTACAGTGTTTAAAGTGAAACCAAGGTGAGTATTTATCTACGTGTATTTGCTGGTTTGACAACGCTATAAATTRATATAAAAATTATCACCACAAATATTTTTCCAATCACTCACAGCACCGGCGAAGTTTTATTGGAAATCAAAATGCCCTGCAAACAAGTCACTTCAGTTGCGTTTGGCGGCCCMAATTTGGATATCTTGTACGTAACGACCTCCAAACTGAATGATCAGCCACCACCAGCTGGTAATACCTATCTCTTATACACATCTAGAATTTGGATATCTTGTACGTAACGACCTCCAAACTGAATGATCAGCCACCACCAGCTGGTAATACCTACAAGGTGACCGGTTTGGGTGTGAAAGGTTTGCCGATGACAAAAGTACAATTGTAAGAGCCGCGATAATTACATACGCTAATTGTTATCTCGCCGGAAAAAATTTTGTTATAATTTTGACTAAGTTTGATACGAAATAAATAAGCAAATAAATAAGGAAAAAAGCAATGCTAGCTGAAATRTATAATAACAATTGGATATTAAGGTGGTCAGTTCAATTGAATTTCGTATGAGCTGCAAGCACTTAACACTTTAGACACTCCAAGTTCTTCTAGAAATGTTTTGCAATTCTTCTTTATACAATGAACGACATAGTGTGTTATGTTATTTTTGCTTGCGTCAGAGCAATGATTTAGCATAAGCGTTTTCGGAATATTATTTTGGTCTTAATCATTTACTAAAAACAGTTTCAATGAAATATCTTTCCATCACTAACTAAGAAAATAAAATTTAAAGTGTATTTTCAGTCCTGGAAAATAAATACCTGACCAAATGTTAACCATCCGCCGGGCATTACAAAAGATCCGTGAAAAGAGGAGGTAAACTGATGTTGAGCAATTCCTTCAGGATCCAGAAGGACCTCTCCGATCCATTCAATACCGAACGAGCTTTCAGACAAGGCGACTTCCTATTTTGTGACCTTTTCAATCTACTGCTGGCGAAAATAATGTGAGCTGCAGAGCTGAATAAAGAACGCACTAGCGACTTGGCACAAATGTCTCTGTTAATAGTCATAAGTTCAAAGTTGTAGATAATATCGTCTATCTCTGAAGCAGTATCAATACCAACAACAACGCCACGAAATCCAACGAGTAATAACTCTTGCTCACAGGTGCTACTTCCGACTGGCTAGGCAATTGAGAAATACMGTCCYCTCTCGACGAACATAGACCAAATTCTACAAGTCGCTCATCATCCCCGTTGTGCTATATAGTGCAGAAACATGGAGGATGACAACATCTGATGAATGGGCGTTACGAGTTGTSGAGACGAAGATTCTGCGGAAGATTTATGGTCCTTTGTTCATTGGCAACGACGAATACCAGGTGTAGAGGAACCTCCAATTGGCGGAAAAAGGAAGAACGACTGGCGCGATATTGTAAACTCGGTTATAATCGCATAAGCGGTRTTTACTTCAAAAAAAAAAAAGAAAAAAGTGAAAGAGCCATATAGAAATGAAAAATGTGATATATGGGCCGTGGACTATGCCATTTTCACAAGGTAGTATAAGGTTCGATAAGGTCGAGGTCGGAATAATTTTAAGAACCAAATTTGTTTGTTTGTTCAATCGAATCTTTCCTGAAGTGTGGGTGAACGCTGCGACGCCCATTGTCCAATTTTGAAACTGGTTTCTTGTGAAAATATTAAGATAGTGAATAATCTCAGTTTCGAAAATTTGCAACACAGCCGCCTCTTTGTGGTTGTGGTTATCATCTAATTTTCCAATGTTTCCAATGTATAAGGAGGAACTGTGAGGTACCGTATATTGATATATCTTTAAYTGTTTGCAATATTTATACCCTAAACCTATTAGGAGGCGGGGTCACAACCATATTTACATATACATATGTATACTTCCAAACCCTGCACGAAATTTCAAGTCTGCATCTTAATTTAGAGCACACATAATAATAGCTCTTCGCTTAGCAGCATTTTTTGGGAATTCGACTCGGGTCGTCATCCTGGCCATTTATGTATATATTGCATCTGATCAACTATGATCTCAACTGAAATTTATTATTTATTAATTTTTTAATTCTTTGTTATTGCCTTCCAAATCCCTCCTTTTGCCTGAGAAGACCGTGATTACCTTCAGCGAGTTTCGATGCCATATTCATAATGCCATCTCTCGTCACCAGTAATGGTGAATGTGAGAACCCTACGTTGTCAAACTCATTTACGACCTCCACTCGACGTCGTCTTTTGGTATGAGTCCAGCATTTACGAACCAACATGTGTGGTTGGAGATGTTGAGGTCCTCTGCCATCTCTCTGATGTTAAACAGGCGAGTTAAATTTGACCAAATAGTAAATAACAAAGCTTTTATACTCTTTTGCAACATATTATGATTAAGGAAGTATAAAAAAGTGTGTTGAACACGTTGCAATCGTTGCAATCGTTGCTGAGTTATTGATTATTAGCATAGATGTACACTAGTGAGCTATTTAAGTATTCATGAAACCTCTACGGGTTTTGTAATAGTAAAAAATAGTATAGTCTGTTATAGTTGTAATTGCTTTCAAACATTTCTCCTGCATTTCATCCACACTGCTCGCAAGCTCATAGCTCAATTGTAACGAAAAATTGCTTATAACACGCCCTTGCACGCAGAATACTCTAATTAGTCGCTGAATTCACAATTCACATAACTTTACTCTTCCACTTAACGAATTGATATTGAAATGAAAATAAATAAATTGCACTCATCCACTCGCTCACAGAGCTTTTGCATAAATACCAGATTTCCGYAGTGAATTGCCTCGTAACTTCCTTATTACCTGCACTTAGGTGCCCCCGTTAGCACGATTTTATTTTATATMTACAGTATATTGTATGTATGTGTGTGTGCATTRCAAATTTGCTTTGCCATTCATTCACCTCTCTCAGTGGCCAACTCAAAACGAATTCCCAATTACATACACACTTGTCCATATTTATGTAGCACAAAAGCTAAAGGCACGTTTCTAGGCAAATCGCTCAATACTTTGGTATGCCAGCCGCGCGCTTTCGACCCATCGAACAGATACGCTCATTAAATGGGACTTAATGTTGGGTTGTTACATTTTTAATGGTGCGGCAAGTGAATTCCTGAACGAAAATATGAAAGGGGCACTTGTGTTTTAAACTTGCGCGCTAAGTTAAGAGCCCGCGCGCAGCAAAAACAGTTAATGTAATGTTCAACATTCAATATATTCATTCCTTCATTCATTTCCTTCATCTCCTTACGGACGCGCTGCGTATTTTTCCGCTTCTTTCTGGAGACGTTACTCCCGCTTCCTCGAAGCTCTGCACTTCAGTCGCGAGCACTTTAAACTTTTGCTTTGCTGCCAATCGTGTCTTTGAATTTGCAGTATTAAGTCAAACTTTTAATTAACCKAATATCGATAAAGGCGCGATCGTGACAATAGCAGCACTCAAAGTATTTTCGGTTGTCAGGTCAAAAGTGAAGGCTTGTTGGCAATTACCGTGTGCTATAGATATATGTATATGCTTTATTGGGTAGTGAAATAAATGTTCAAGTGCTAATTTGCCATGCCGCAGCTATTAGCAGAAGTTCAAAATTTACAATTACAGGCGTGCGCCTTGGTCAAGTGAGTTATTACGGTATAAAATACTTGTGCTGTGTTGAGTTTATATTATATAACAAAGAGCGGTGTTTGTGAATATTTTATTAGTTAATAAATTGCTTTTAGGCAATTGAAGGCGGAAAATTTATTGTATTTCTTCATTTAAAATCAAGTCATGTAGGCTAAGTTGCATTGAGGCCATCAATTAGCATACCTCAGAAAAACTGTGTTTTTAAAGGCATTACATGTATTTTAGAAGTCTTCATTTCCAACTGCTTGAAATAAATAATGAATGTAAGTTAAAGGTCTGAAGCTTCGGATTTCCTTAATGAAATATGCAGCAGATTGCTAAGGTTACCCCAGAAGAAACAAACTGGTAGGCGGATGGAACCATGAGTTCTTTGATCGTCATTCAMTTGCGATGGGCCAAAAATGATTATTTTACATATGACTTAAGCAGCTCCCGAATTCCGGTTTTAGACCAAGAATCTGAGTAGCCAAAAAACATCCGTTAGAAAGCGAYTTAAAGTGAAAAGGCGAAATATCTCTTCCCAGGGTCGTGAACTGGGCTTGGGAGCCGACACGTAAAAAAACACCCCAATTAAAATGAGAAAACAGCCTTGGCGGTTGTAAACTTCGCTGTAACTAATAGAAGCTCCGTTAAATTCTTACGGTTCTCTGCTGGATGGTTGGGCCTAAGACAGTTCAACAATCGTTAATTAACTACTAGTTACTGGGCAATCGTTAGGTCTTTCTGGATCAGGGTATATCTCTTCGCCCTCAGTAAAGCTCATGTTTCAATGATTTTAGGAGTTCTAACTTGGCACTGTCCGTTCGGRATGCATGCGGTAAGATTGATATTTTACCGGATGCCGGCTGCTTGGAAAGAGGTGAAATCCGATAGAACTATCTTAACACTAAGTTCTCATTTGTCTCGCCTTTTCCATTACGAAGTTCCCTATGTTTTTTTAAAGAAAAAAACACAGAAACATCAAATTTCGTGGGGAATGTTTATTATCGCTCGAGGAGAACCTTCTTTGGTATTTATATTCTGAAGATTATCTCTTTCAAATGTTGTTCGCGACTACGACTCAGAYGGTTCATCCGTTGAACACAATTTTTAATGATTTGCTCCAGCATTTCTACTGGTAACTGGCGAATGACAGCGCCATGTTTTGATCCGATGCCTGAATCGAAGCGAGATGATACGAATGGACTTCAGACTTTAAATATTCCAACAGAAAAAAGTCGGACGGTGTGATATTACACGTTCTTGGTGGCCAATCGGCCGGCAATCGACATGACAGACTCACGTGCGATCTGTCAAAAAAAAGCTATTGAAAAAGCACCTCTACTTGGAGCACCCGCCATTAACTATATTAATATAACAGTACAACAATTCATATCACAAATCAATAATAAGATTTTAAACSTACGAAAACATTTCATTTTACAAATACAATGCTTAAAAGCGCGATTTGAGCTTGAAAGCTCCATTTACCTAGCATAGCCTTTGCTTAAGTTATAATGTTAACGCTGCATAGACCAATGCAACATGCCATAACTTATGGTAAGCTTGTAAAATTAATCCGCAACTAAATTTTGGACAAACAAGATTGGAAATCTGAAAAATGAAYTTTAATCTTTGTATGCAAATCACCTGGCAGTGCCAACAGCCAACAGCCAACAGCTCACATTTTCCACGATTCCCTACACCTTGCCATTGCAGAAAAAATTTATATTTAACACCGACACGAACTTGCTTTCATAATACAACAACAAGGAAGGCGAATTTTAAAAGGTCATACGAATACAAATTCATAGCCATATTAACTTTGTAAAAATGTGTGCGGTAAAAAAATGGTAAAATCTCATATCTTC